AGTCAGAGTGAGAATCCCTTCTATGTCATCTGAGCATCTGAAGGGGTTGGGAAAATGGGAGCCATCTGTACCTTTTGTATGAGTCCAGTGAAGTTGCGGACCAGGGAGATGGAATGGTCTGAAGGGCTAGTCCTATGAAAGATGGATGCAGCAGGCCTCAGGTGGGCACCGAATATGTGCTAGGAGTGTTCATACAATTATCACTGAAACCTCATGAGGCTGGAAGACTGGTATTGAAAGTGAAGTGAAAGTCACTCAGTTGTGTCTGACTCTTTGTGGCCCATGACCCATACAGTCCATAGAATTCTCTAGGCCAGAATACTGGAGTGGCTAGCTGTTCCCTTCTCCAGGGGATCTTCCCAACCTAGGGATTGAACCCAGGTCTCCCACATTGCAGGCAGATTCTTTACCAGCTGAACCACCAGGAAAGTTCAGGAGGCTGGTATTATCATCCCCATTTTATGGTTGAGGGAAATGAAGCTCTGAGAATTGAAGCAATCCCACCCCCCGCCCCACTCCCTGCCAATGGCACAGAGTTATTTGGGGGAAGAGACCAGGACTGAAAGTGGTCCTTAGAGGAGTGTTCCAGATTGAGGGTGCTGTGTTCTCACATGGAGATGGGGATCCAAGGGCACCATTGGGGCGTTCTGCCAGTTCTACAGAACCTGGATGCCTTTTAGACTCATCCAGTTGCAGGTCTCTAAGTTTGGCCTGCATTGGTCACTTATTTTCACAATAATATTGCCTAATAAGCCACCAGAAACTCAAAGTAGCCTTTATTTTGGTTCATGCATTGTTTCTTGGTTTGATTATTGGCTTACCTGGGCCAGGTTTGGCTGGGCATCATTCTAAACCCAAGTAAGGTGTCTGTCCCATGTGTCTGAATCTCCCTGGACTGGTGGCCCAACTGGGTCATGTTCTTCTCATCGTGATGCAGAGGTATAAGAGAACAGGCCCCACCACACAGGCTTATATCATGCTGTATCATGCTGCTTGTATCATGCTGCTAATATTGTTACTGAGCCCAAGCTCACTGCTCACTGCATGACAGGCCAATAAATCAGGAGATGAGGTGTTGAGGCAAGCAATAATGACTTTGCTTGGAAAGCTGGCAGACCAAGAAGATGGCCGACTAATGTCTCAAAATAACCATCATATCTGGGTCTGGATACCAGTTTCTTTTATAGAACATGTCATAGTCATTGTGCAGGTTGGTAATTTCCAGACATGAGACAGAATGAGAGGAGAATAAAGTCTATTAGAGTGGGAGATGCCATTAGAATATCAGGCCAGCTCAAGGGACAGCCGACTGCTTTTGTGGGCTAGTAGTCAATTTTTATAGCCTCAAAACAGAAAATTCGTACTGGAATGATTGCATTAGGTGATTGGTTAGGATGCTATAGGGTGGGTAATAGGGTGGTTATTTTACCTAATATGGGGTCAGGGAACTGGCTGGTTTAGATCCAGAAGCTCATGGCGATAGTTGCTATGGGTCATAATCAGTTCCAGAGATTTTTATCCTGTGACCTTGGTATAGGGCTCCACAGAACACAGAGTGGAGGAGGTGAGGAAGTAAAGTAAAAAGGTCATTAATCTTGCACATATCTCCTGGAATGACCAGCCTTGGGAAGGGGATATGTCAATTTCCTTTTTCTTGCAGTCATTCACACCTGCAACCAGTGAGTGGACAGGGTCATGATGTTTCCCTGAACAAAAGCACTCTGGTTTAGCATTCAGGTAGAGGGACAAGCTTCCCTGAGGCAAGCCATTATGTATAGACAGTATTCTTTTATTGAAAAAAAGCAACAGTAGTATTCTGGCCTGGAGAATTCCCTGGACTGTATAGTCCATGGGGTTGCAAAGAGTTGGATACAACTGAGCAACTTTCACTTTCTTTGGCTTGAATTCCATCCAGTGCTTTCATGGTATTCCCCAGATATGCATATTGTCTAAGATCACTGTACCCAAAGCAGTGATCCTGCATCCACTTTTTGGTTAATTCTGTGGGTCCTCAATTCAGGGTGTGACATACCCGAGGCCTTGTGCAAGATAGAGACTACAGGGATGCTTCCTTTGTCTTGTGTCCAGCTAGGGGCACATTCCCCAAACTGCCTTCCAACTTCCTGGCCAGAGCTAGACCAGCATGGAGGTCCTCTGAAATCACTCTTAATCTCTGCCATATAGGTATAGAGCACTATAGGTTAAACTGAAACATTAATTGCTTTTCTGCCTTTCCAAGATGATCACTGAATTGCTGATATCTGTTTTCTTGGAGAAAAGCATCACCCATCTCAGTGAGAGGCATCCAGTGCTGTGACATTGGCTGATAGATGCCCATTGGCTTGGTGCTTCTTTGCACAGAGTAGGTAGTTGGTCAGTCATCAGTCTTTGTGAATTGAGTCTGTGTCATGCAGGTAGGATGGACTGATGTAAATCAGAGCACATCCCACCCTTCCCTCCTTAACACATACGTGAAAGCCCTCTAAGGATTATTGTTTAGTTGCCAAATTGTGTCTGACTCTTTTTGTGATCCCATACTGTAGCCCACCAGGCTCATCTGTCCATGGGATTTCCCAGGCAAGAATGGTAGAGTGAGTTGCCATTTCCATCTCCAGGGGATCTCCCTGACCCAGGGATCAGTCCTGCACCTCCTGCATTGGATTCTTTACTGCTGAACCACCAGGGAAGCCTCACCTCTGATGATGCCCCATTGCAATTAGAATACTCTCTCTCCCCTTGTTGCAGTCCACAAGGCAATTCCTACTCAGGGGCCCTGCTTCCTACCACTGTCCCCCTGACCCCCTCTGCTCTGGCCACAGCAGCCTTTTGTGGGTTTCCTGAACGTACCAAGTTTGTTTCTGGTTTGCATTTGCTGTTCTCTCAATAAATAGAAAGCTTCCTCCGACCCCAGATCTTCCCTTCTGGAATGATCGCCAGCCCCTATAGTCATTAAGGTTTCTGCTCAGAGGAACCTTCCTCTACCATCCTTTTTAAAGCCTCCATGCAAGCTGCTTTCTATTTCATAACTCTTATTTCCTCATAGCTTTTATTTTCTTTGTGGCATTTATTGCCATCTTGGGTTTCCCTGGTGACTCAGACAGTAAAGAATCTGCCTGCAATGTGGGAGACCTGGGTTCAATTCCTAGGTTGGGAAGATCCCTTGGAGGAGGGCATGGCAACCCACTCCAATATTGTTGCTTGGAGAATCCCCTTGGACAGAGGAGCCTGGCGGGCTACGGTCCATGGCGTCACAATGAGTCAGACATGACTAAGCACAGACACAAGCACATTGCCATCTCAAATTATCTTATTTACCTATTTGCTTACACGCCCTCTCTTCACCTGCTGCCCTAGGAACATGGTCAGTGAGGTCAGCTCCAGTGCCTGGCAGTGCAGTGTGTTTGTTACAAGGAAAGCACTCAGTCACTTTTGTTGAGAAACTACTGAATGAACACACAGGTGAATGAATGACTGAATAAATGACTTGTCTTTGGGTAAACTGGTCTCGCATTTGGCTGCAGTTGGAAGGGGAAGACCTAAACCTTCAGTTTAGAGGACAAGGGGAAGCCTGACAAAAACTGAGAAGGTGGCTCTATGCACTGTGCTTCTCATTTAACTCTTTGTCCACCTTGGGGATGACGGGTTTCGGTTCCCAAGACCCTTCCCTGAGCCTCCTTCCATCGACAGAAGCCTAGATTGCTGCAGCAGTCTTTGTCTCCTAACAGGAAAATAGTGAGGAGCATGTAGATTTCCTTCTGCAGGTCTATGGGGAAAGGGGTGAGGGTGGGAGGACAGGTGAGGTTGTCACAGGGCGTGATGTCCTGAATGAAATGTACTCGGTCTCTCTGGGACAAATTGTGTGCAAGCTCTCCAAATCTTGCTTCAGTGACTGTGTTACCACCAGACAATCACTGACAGCTGTTGCTGTTAAAACGTCTCCAACTGTGCAATCAGAATTGCGCTATTGAGATGCTAAGTGTAGACAGACACAGCCTTTAGGAATGGCTTAAACAGAATCCCTTGGAGTGATTGCTAGCCTTATTAATATAGATAATTGGAAGCCACTTCGCAGTCATGAGCGAATCATTCATTCTACAGAACACCGTGTAGATGGGAGACAGGTTCAAGGATTTGCCGTTATCAGACCAGATGATGGAGGTTCAGGGCCCCGTTTCTTTGCACCCTGTAATTCTCCAACAAGAGTTTTCAGGGAGTCTAACTTTTCAGTTACCCATTGAAATATATATCCATCGTTCTGGGGATTCCCTTTCTTGACCAGTCCCTCTGCCACCCCTGTCCAGCAGGGACAGCATCCCTCCCATTTCCTTCCTCTTTATCGCACGTGTGGGTGCCTGATTAACGGTGCTCTGCGGATGCGTTTCCTGGGGCCGGTGGTGTCAGATGTCACTACTGCATCAGTCTGAACAGGTAGATCGGGGCCACAGTCCTCTACCCATTGTCCCTAAATCGAAAAAAGCTCAGAAACCCAAAGTATAACTCACTTGACAGCAAAACCTACCCTGAGCTGAACTCCTTTGGTGGCAAAACTTGACTTCAACTGATATGAGGCTGTGTATAGTCTTTACTTGTATCAGTTAGAAGGAAACACCATACTTTTTGCTTTAGAAATACTGTGTTTGGTTATGGGGTACTGATGTAGATTTTGTTGAAGGTGTTATATAAAATGAGTATATGGGCCAAATTAGCTTTCCAACAGATGATCCATTCTGAGTTCTGAAATATATTTGGCCCTGAGGGTTTGGCATAAGGGATTATTAATCCGTAGTGGGGAATGGGAAAGTAACGAAGAAACCACAGTATCAGTGGGAAGATGGAGCAAAGAGTTGCCTTCCTTTTCCATCTAGGAAACGAGCATCTCCAAGCACTCATCACTGGCTTCTTTGTAGTTCCTGCCACTCCTGTCCTCTGTCACTACTGTTCTATGTAGTTTTGAGCAAGACTGCATTTTCAGACAAGATGACTCTGTTTCTTTTCAGTGGTGGGCGTTGGGATGGATCCCGACCTTCAGTTGGATATCATCGCTGAGCTCGACCTTGTGAACACCACCCTTGGGGTCACGCAGGTGTCCGGACTGCACAACACCAGCAGAGCATTTTTATTTCAAGGTAAAGGTACCTCTCTCCTTTGCATGGGGGCAGGACTTGGGGAGGAACTTGGGATCTGCCCGGGGCGTGTTCCTCTGGAGTGTGTTTGTTGAGTGATCATCTCTGCTACTTCTATGTTATCGCCATGAGGAATGTTCAGAGATGCTGAGGGTGCTTAGATATTTGAGGGGTGTTCTCAGAGTGTAAGGGGGGCAGTAGTGGTCATGGTGATGGAATATTTGGCTTGGCAGTGATATACTTCCCAGGGGATTTTGGTGGGGGACCTGAAGTGGAATGAATTTGTAAAGTCCTTGAAAGCCACTGACCAGCCATATTTTTTTCCACAGGATATTTTTTCTACTGTTATCCATATGTTTACCTATATCTATCAATGCATCTATTCCTATTCTTATATCTGCATTACTCATTAATCAGTGGACTGTGCACGTAGAGGATATTTTATGGCTGCAGTGTCTTAGGGGTACAGCTTACTTGGTTCTGCCTGCTATAAATCTGACTACAATTCATTAAATTGTTCAACAAGCATTCATCAGGGCAGTATAGTGCACTTCGTAAAAGCCTGGATCTGGAGCCTGACTGCTTAGGATCAGATTCCAACCCTCTCATTTACTGACTTTGCAGTGTTGGACAATTCCTTAGCCTGACTCTGCCTTTGTCTTCCTCTGAAATAATAGTACCTGCATCATGGCACTGTTACAGTGATTGAGGAACGAATCCAGCAGAGTGGTTCAAACAGTGCCTGATAACATAGTAAATCCCCAGGAAGTTCTAGCTGTTATTATGGAACCCCTGCTGTGTACCAGGCACCATGCTAACAATAGGATTATTAATAAGAGTAAATAAATAGAGTGAGGGAAGCAGTCATTACACAAGCAATTATTGACTTCCAGTGGCTATACTTACCATGAGGGAGGTGTATAGGTTGCCGAATTAAAGTATACAGGGAGATCTGATTTAATGGGGGTGGGAAGATGGTAGTGGTCAGGGAAAGGCTACCCTGAAAAAGTGATGTGTCAGCAGAAGTGTGGAAAATGAATAGAAAGCCTGGTGTAGGAAGAGGTGGGGGCTCAGAACATTCTGGGCTGTAATGCTATGTACGAAGGTCTTAAGGCAGAAACCAACAGAAAGACATTTAGCATGGCTAAAAGGTGGTGAGCAGCTGGAGAGGTAGGCAGGGACTGGGTCATGCTGGGCCCTTTAGGCAGAGCTGACATTTAGCTGATGTCCGTGGGCTTGGTGTACTGATGCTTTATGGCCAGGGTCCGTTCTGATAAGTGGGAGGCCATGTACTTGTTAACTATTGTGAATATTCCCCATGCCCTTGTTAGTTTTCTGCCTTACTCTCAGATCAGTGGGGGCCTTTGATGAGTTGAGGCAGGGGAGTGATCTGATCAGATAGAGCAGTCAGACAGCCTGGATATTCCTATACCTAAATGCCTGGCAGGCTTCTTTGAACCAAGCCTTTTGTGAAGATAACAAAAGGATTATTTTAGAATGACTGAACCAACATTATGGGATGATATATATATTTCCTGTGCAGAGAACTTTAGTCTTGTTAATAATATACAGCACATCTATAGGTCCTATATAATAATATAGAACAAGGCTACAGATATGTTAATTTCCACTCACTCTTAGGAATCAGTGAAGCAAATAGATTGGGCATGCTTAAGAGCAGACAGACTGGGTTAGTCTTTCTTTTTGCATTGTGCAAGATCTGTTCACTTACTATTGAGAGACCATCCCCTTCTTGATTTGAGAGATGCTGCTGACACTTTCGGAGAAGGCAATGGCAGCCCACTCCAGTACTCTTGCCTGGAAAATCCCTGGTAGGCTGCAGTCCATGGGATCGCGAATAGTCGGACACGACTGAGCGACTTCCCTTTCACTTTTCACTTCCATGCATTGGAGAAGGGAATGGCAACCCACTCCAGTGTTCTTGCCTGGAGAATCCCAGGGACGGCAGAGCCTGGTGGGCTGCCATCTATGGGGTCGCACAGAGTTGGACACGACTGAAGTGACTTAGCAGCAGCAGCAGCGGCAGCTGACACTTTGTCAACAGAGTTGTTATGGAAGCCTGGCTCATCTCAACACTCCATGAAATCAATAGTCTTCCTATCTAAATATTCCTACATCCCTATGGCCAAATATATGCATGGTACACAGTAGGTATGAAGAAACATTTTGAATTGCACTAAAATTTCCTCTGTCCAGCATGCTCTTTGAGAGGCTTGCTGCCTGCTTTATACACTAGTCTAGTCATTTACTCATTTATTTATTTCCTTGGTTAGATCTTTGCTCTCTAATTTGTGTGTTCTTGGCTTTTGGGATGTCTGCTATGCTCCAACAACAGGGAGAGATTTTCAGCTTCTTTGGTGGGAAGAATAACTGTATCATGGGAATTTGACTGAGGAGGGCTTTCACTAATAAGGGCCCTTGTGATTGCATTACTTGGATAATCCAGGGTAATCTCTCCATCTCAGGATCTGTAATCTGTAAAGTCTATTTGGTATGTAAGGTAACATTTCGTATGTTTTGGCAATCAGGACATTGACATTTTTAGGGAACTGTTATTCTGCTTATCACAACATCTGCCCACTGGCCCCTCTAAATTCATGTTTACTACACATGCAGAATCAATTAATCCCATCNTGAGCTTTAAGCCAACTTTTTCACTCTCCTCTTTCACTTTCATCAAGAAGCTCTTTGGAGAAGGAAATGGCAACCCACTCCAGTAATCTTGCCTGGAAAATCCCATGGATAGAGGAGCCTGGTAGGCTGCCGTCTATGGGGTTGCACAGAGTTGGACAAGACTGAAGTGACTTAGCCGCAGCACCAGCAGCAGCAAGAGGCTTTTTAGTTCCTCTTCACTTTCTGCCATAAGGGTGGTGTCATCTGCATATCTGAGGTTGTTGATATTTCTCCCGGCAATCTTGATTCCAGCTTGTGCTTCCTGCAGCCCAGCATTTCTCATGATGTACTCTGCATATAAGTTAAGCAGTGTGACAATATACAGCCTTGACATACTCCTTTTCCTATTTGGAACCGGTCTGTTTTTCCATGTCCGGCTCTAACTGTTGCTTTCTGACCTGCATACAGGTTTCTAGTCTCACTGTCTAAATAATCTAAATCAGATATGAGTGGGACTCTGAGTATGTGCTGTGTTGGAGCAAAATTTTTCTTTTTCTGTGGATCCGTAAAACTAGAAAAAAGTAATCTGCTTCCAAAATATAATAGTGTGACAGGTATAGGATTCCAGTTATAGAAGTTCCTGTCCAAAAGGGAAAAGTGGAAAGAAGAAAGGAGTTACCAGTCCCAAGAAAATTTGAAATCCAGCAGGACAAATTCCACTGGGTATTAGGGCCTGAGGGTCATCCTCTGTGATCCTTGGCTCTGCCTTCTAAGTTTATGACTTGTTTCTATGAATCATTCTTTTTCATGAAAAGTAGCATATGTTTGTAGTTTGATAGTTTTTTTTTTTTTTTAATTTACTTTAAAATATTTGGCTGCACCCGGTCTTAGTTGTGACATGGAAGATCTGGTTCTATGACCAGGGTTTGAACCTGGGCCCCCAGCATTGGGAGAGTGAAGTGTTAGCTGCTGGTCCACCAAAGAAATCCCTATAGTTGAATAGTTTTATCAGCCTATTTCTTGCCTATAGAATTTGGGGAGTCCATCAGCCTTATTTCATTTTATCTTCTTTTTGTTCCCTTCAGTCCTAGGTGGCAGTGTTTCTCTGGTATAACATTCTCAAAAACTTGGAGGGTTTCCTGTCCATGAGACAAAAGGTTCCTTTACAGATCTTTCCAAGAAATTCCATCTCTGTTGTATTTCTGACTTCTACTGGCATGGCTGAGGGGATCACTGAATTACAATTCTGACCTCTTCAAAGCGTCCTCTGGTTGATTGAATATGCTGACCATTTTGATCTTTCAGAAGTACTAGCAAAAAGTGGTTCAGCCACATCCTTGGCTTCCTTCCAGAGCAGACTTTCCTGACAGTGAATTTCCTAATTTTATTGTCTTTTCTATCTGGATAAGCTGGGAATTTTCTATATGATCAGTCCTGGTTCCTTTTTGCTAAACAGCTCTTCACTTAATCTCTCTTTTTCCTCTCACTTTTTTCTGTATGCAGCAAAGAGAAACCAGGCTGCACCTTCAACACTGGAAATCAGAAGTGAAAAATAGACTTTAAAGGGCTAAAATCAATGTGTTGGCAGAGCCGTGTTCCTTGGATAGCCACTATAGGCTAATCAGTTTATTGTTTTTCCAGCTTCCATCAGCTGCTACACTCCTTAACTTGTGGGTACCTCACTTCCACCTCTGTTTCTGTCTCACATTTCTTTTTTTTCTCTTTCAGTCATGTTTTCTTCCCTTGTACTGACTCTTCTACTCCTTTTTTTCCTCTCTTACAAGGACCCTTGTGGGTCCTTTTCCCTATATTGGGCCCACCTGCATAATCTAGGATGATTTCTTCATTTTAAGATTCATAACTCTGTCACATTTGCAAAGGCTTATGCTGTGTAAAGTAATATCTTTATAGGTTTGGGGGATTAAGATGTAGAGATCTTTTGAGGGTAAGGATATAATTTTGTCTACCATAGGATGACTACTCATGTTGGGCAGAAATATGAGCAATAGGATATTTCCAGAATACTCCAGATAAGTCTTTTCTAGTGCAGCATTGTCCAACAGAAATGTAAGTGAGTTGTATCTTTGATTTCAGTTTTTGTAGTAACCATATGATACATGTAAAAAAAAAAGTGAAATTGATTTTAGCTATACATTTTTTTAAGCTAGAATATGAAAAATATTATCATTTCAACATATGGTCAATACAAAAAATTATTAATGAGATATTTTACATTTTTTCAAAGTAAAAAATCTCATCTATAATTTATAGTTACAGTATACAGTAGATTTGCCAAGTTATTCCTTACATAATTTTAAGTATCATTAAAAAATTTAACAGCTTTGTTAAGATGTAATTGGCTTATAATA